TCATATATGTACATATATATATATAAGTGTGTATGTATATATCCATATATGATCGGATGAATTACGTCGAGACGCGCCTTCGAGCAGAGTCGGTGTTTCCTTCGCACTCGGCCATCTCTCTTCGCCGGGGTTCTCTCTGTTTGACACGGGAAAATCGATGAAACGTAACGAAAAGAAGAATATGATAAACGAGACACGCGATTTTATCGTATCCTATCGTTCGTACGACCGTGCTTGCCCGCACCTGTGCACAGGTGCGACACGCGCGCCGATTTACAACCGCGCATCCACGTTCTCGGAAATCTTCGATATTCGATGCTATCACGCACACGTTCCCGTTATGCGTGTGTACTTCTATATTCAGGACTCGTGACAATCAAAGGCAACAACTTTTCTTATGGAAGACGAATGAATGACCAACAATTAAAACATATAATGATAAATACTACGTAAATAAGAGTAAGATTTTCACAATGAGAATAGCAGCGTCGACGGAAAAAAAAAAGAAAATGATCGTCGCGTCGCGTCGCGACGATTACAAAGTGTACGCGGAAACGTGCTAAGAACAGAAGCGGCTGGGAGAACGTCGATTCTCGATGATCAAAACCGACGAGCATCTCCCCGCGCGACGATAATCTCTCTCCTGCAATCCCGGTAATTACGTTCCCAATGATCCGATTATGTTTCGTCGTTGCACAGCGCACAGCGTCATGGAATCGACCGTGCTGACAAATGACGATGCACGCGCGTCCCTTTGTTCTCCGTTTCGTACCTTTTGTTTACGCCGCGAGATAACTTTTACGAACGATTTGTAAGAACCGGCGCGGCAGACGAAGCGAAGCGAGCATGTTCCTGATGGATTATTCGGTAACGAACGCGCGCGAACGATCGGGCAATTTTCGATCTCACGCGAGACCTGTCGAAACACTCTGCCTCGGAGACGTATCTCTCGATAGTTGGCCTAGTAGTATCGAGTTTCATATTTTTCTCCTGATGACAGTAAATCGTCGAACGATTTATCATCTATTATACGATTATTGACAGTCTCCACAAATTTTATTGATATAAACTTTATCGCTACCGTTGAACGTAATAATACTTAAATAATTATAATGACGATACCTTCGGTAGAATTACGGGCACCAGATTAAACGAAGTAAATAATGCTGGCTGGGGTGTTACGAAATCGAAAGAGGAATATTATTGGGTACGGGGGTGTGGGTGGCGCGGGGCGAGCCAGAACGATCGAGAGAAAGGGGCTGAGCGAAAGGTACCAGAGAGCGAAAGCTGCAGAGAGAAAGGGAGAGAGAGAGAGAGCGAGAGAAAGTGAGAAACGAATGTGTGTACGTGCGCGAGAAAGAGAGAACAAGTGATAGAGAGAAGAAAGAAAATGGATTAAAACCATTCGAGTGTCCCGTGAATACGAAGTTTTTAGATGGTTGATAGAATTATTATAGATCGTAAGGGGAAATAGTATATGACTATGGAGCAGGATTCGCCGGGATGGGGTCGCGTTATAACGAAACAAAGATAGGGTAAATTAAGAATGTAACGAGTCTTTCCGCATTGCGTTTTTTCTTTCCTTTGCTGTACACACAACTTTTGCGTGACGAATCGGACAAACAAAAATGATACTAATCCCACGTGCGAACGCATACGAACCCGCGGACACGAACTGCGTATTGTTTACGTTCTCATCTACTATTGTGTAACTAGAGATTAGAAATGAACATTATAATTACGATCATTCTTGTATTTATTACTATTATTGTTCCTCGGTTACGCGAAAACGTTCGAGAGTGATCCATTTGTACAATCATTGAGTCATTAAAATATGATTATCCAGTACCACGGTTCGTTATTTTTCCATTGTGCACGTTATTCCGAAATGTTTACACATTTACTTGGCCCGAAATAAGTAACAGAGGAGACGACGCTGTGTAAGTATTTTTCTTCTCCGAGTAAACCACGCTCAGAGAACAGAATTTTTTAGTCCTTTGTACTCGGAGGATTTTCGAAGATCGTGTACTGGCAACTCGAATGTATTTATCGATGAAATGCTAAGCAACACTTGAAAAAAGAAATGTGTAACAATATAATACTTCCAAGTAATTACCTTGTAGATCATAATATTCACCTTTATCCAAATAAAATTTCCCAGTACAATTCAAAGTACAATTTATAAAAGTCACGATAAATTAAAAAATTGATTAACATGACATAAATAATTATTGAAGATTGATGAAGATTGATTGCAACTTAAATCATTTTATATTAAGTATATAAATTCAGAATGAATTTAAAAATAGGTGGCTAATTAAAAGGCGGCTAGTTTTTCATGTGCGAAGCGATTCGTTTTATTTAGAAAAAGGTGAATTTGATTTGCAAACGTGTGAGTAAAACTCGTAAGAGAGTCAATTTCAAGTGTAAAACAAATAATTACCAGCAGTCCTGTATCTTCTGAGAAGAGACATCCGAGTACAAAGGGTTAATAAATTATTAATGTTAACGATTCTCTAGTTAATTTTTGTCTTCCACATACATGATGCTTCAATCTAATTGCTGATGCACCGTTTTCAATAAAACATCAATCTTACGATAAGACTCTGTTGACAAATGAACAGTTAGGGTAAGCACCGATAAAAATATACTATACCCAGAGCGATCATCTTTACGCAAATCCCAATTTTCATAGATCATTTCATCGAAACCAGAAAATGAGGAACTGATTCGATATACCAAGCAGAAAATTCCTTACGATAAAAGTAACGCAGCAATGTCGTTTATTTTAATATACGTGTTTTCTAATAGCGTAAAAAATATGTAAATACGATAAATACATAAAAATTCGCAGTCTAATAATAACACGATCAAACATCAATCTTGAAACTACAAAATCAAAACGATGAGAAAACAAAAGATAAGCGGCGTTTACATGAAAATTAATAAAAAAAAACCTTTTATCCATATATGTATATTATTATATAGTATAGCACCTTAATCTACAGGGTGTCACATAACTGATGGTAGAACCGCTGATCCTACGTCGAAAAATTAGAATAAATTTTTTTAAAAAGTAGATTGAAGAAATAATAGTATTGAATAGGAATTAAGTACGGTCTGTGTGTGTGTGTGTGTGGTCATGATATACCAATTCTACTTCTCGTGATGTTACAAGCCCCACGCGAACCGACGCATTTACCAACTCAGTTCTCTCGAAAACGGAGCCTTAAATGAAAAAATGTTCTTTTTTTCGACTTATTTGTTGGCGTAAAATCAGCTTCTATCCGGTTGTACCACAAGTTACATGACACCCTGTATAGTTTACTGGCGATTAATAATCTTTCGAAGCTTAAAGGTGAATGGGGATCTTCTAATGAACTGTTCAATAATGATAACACTTTAAATTATAAATCGGTAAGCTATCTCGAGTGGACATCATGTAATCATTTCGTCTTGACGATCGACATAAAGGAAACGAATCACATAGAGAAAAACAGCAGGCTGTAACACGTGGTAAAGTATAATATGTTTAAAATGTTCTCATTAATAAATTTTGCAGTGCAGCATTATGTTAACCCTTTACAGTATCATTTCTTTCGCAACTAGGTTGTTCGTCTTTAATCATTTCCCTAATAGAACGAAACAGTTTCTCGTGTGTCTTCGTCCACTTTAATTTCTAATTAAACTGCAGATCAATATCCATGTATACTCGCCGCAGGAAGTATGTTGACGGCTTTTCAAACCAAGTAACTTTTTTTAAATTGGTCCGAGTGACTTGAATTTTTTTCAGAGACGAGTCTACTAGACAATGACTATAATACTTTTTTTTAATTTTGCTATTAATTGAATATTATTTTGCTATTAGCTGCATAATAATTGCTTAACAGTTATGTTTCGCACGATAGCTTTTGCTTTCTCCTCTTATGCGAGTAATAAAGTGATTAATTTTTTGAAAATTATGGAGCGCCAAATTAACAAGAATGAACATCTTCGACAATTTCTGTTATATATAATTAAATCGTAAATGTTCATTCCTGTTACCTGGATGCTCCATAGTTTTCAAAAAATTAATCATTTTATTATTCACACGGAACAATCGCCGAACAGCATAACTGTTAGGCAATTATTATGCGGGAAGAAATCGAAATTAAGATCGCATATACAACTGCCGCTCAAAAGTATGCGGATACCTCCTTAACTCTTACTACTATCTAAAAAAAAATCATGAAATCTTTAATAAACTTGATTAAATATCACGTATATGCTAGTTTCTATGATATTAGAGATCGCATTTAACTCACCAATAATATTAAAAAGCAATTATATCTTCTTCTCATCAATATATCCGCCGTGTGCTTTTATAACCGCATTTACTGGTCATGGAATTTTGACTGTTAATTTTTTCATTACTTCGCTGTCAATTTGGGTTCCACTCCAATCTTAGGACTTAAATACTTAAATTGTTCAATTTGTTGTTATCAAGGAACATTACATTGTACACGTATCCATGATAGAATTTAGCAATAATCATTTAACAGTAATAATAGACACTGTATTTCGCAGTTTCTATTCAATTGGTAAAGTGTCCACATACTTTCGGGCGGCAGTGTATACACGGACCAATCTATCATTTCTCAATCGAAAAGAACGTTCTCAAACTGTGAAAATTTTTTGTTACAACCTGCCGCGGTCTCCCTCAAAGAAAATGCGTTTCACACACTCTGCACGTATAAAATTCGACTAATTCCAAGTGACGCTATACGCACATGCGAATATTGTATTTGTGATACGTGTAAATATTGCCTTCTCTGTTCTAATATTATATTTTCTTGGTTATAGTCCACCGCAAGTCAGATAAAAGTTTTCGATTAGACCGGTCAATACCAGCTGACGGTCGGATTCCGCGCGTTTAATCTTTCCCTTCACCCAGTGATGCTGATAAATCGCAGGTGTGCACGAATCGACTTATCTAACGACGATCAGAAAGATTTTTAATCGTTGTATTACACCGTGACTCGATACTTGTTTCCCGATGCGTCTGTGATCGTTCGTAAATGATCTTTCACTTCTTATTGTGCGTGAAACTCGACTCGTAGATAAGATGCCGAAACGATAAACTTCATTCGAAATCAGCGACCGGCATTTCTAGTTGTGCCGAGGCGACTGGCTAAAGTAACCGAGGAGATCCACTGCGAGATCGAGATCCTCCGGTCACTGACACCCCCCCCCAAAAAAAATACGATCAGGTGGAGGACGCACGTTGATGCAAGTGTCGCTGAAGTTGTTTTGTGAAATCAATGAAGACAGATTCGAAATTGTATAAATTACCAGTGCAGGGTGATCGCGAGTGCGAATGTAGCAAACGTCGATGAAAAGGTAAGTGAAGCGTATGTGTAAGCACGCACCTATATGTGTCGCGAGAATCGAACGATGACGAGCATACTCGTCAAACACAGAGTAAGTGTCGCTGTTGAAATATTGGATCGAAAATACGGTTTTATTTGATAAAATTAACAATTTCATTACTAATATTTACTTATTCACTTAACATTAACATATATTGCATACATAATAAACGAACAACGCAGGAAAAAACAATTACTTATAAAAGTTAAACATTCAAATTGCTGCTGTAGAATGGTGTTCGGCAAAGCAAGGAACGATACATAATGGCACATTGCACGTCGAACACCAATATCGCGAATTATTCATATAATTATTCATATTTTCTATTTGTTTATTTAATTCTCAAAATATTCTAAATATCTTGAAATTTTAGAATATTTTCTTTTTTCACCAAAATTACAATTTAAATAGCCAGTGGTCACTACTTTCTACGCACAACGAGTATACTCGTCGTGACACAATATACTGCCACTTCTCCATGAGAACGAGTATACTCGTCAAACACAACTAACTGGTTAATATTAACGAATATTTCTGAAAACGTTCGTCTATTAGCAACTATATTTGTCAATCGATCAGATTCCGCGTTGCAGGTTTTTCATTCTTATTTTGTAGTCACTGAAAGATTTAAATAACAAGAAACCAATTGTTAGTTTTCAAGATGTCGATGGTTTTTTAATCTGTTACTCTCTTTTTGTGACGATTTCGACAATATAAATTCGGGCGCTAATTAAATTCGTTTTCTATTATCGTAATATTCGTTTGTATACTTTATCTATTCGTGGATTTACTTATTCGCTTATAAGGAGCTCAATTTTATCAGTTCATAAATGTGATAGCAAAATAATCTCAAAGTTCATTTATAATATCACTTTCTAGTTTCAAATACTGCGATCTGTCCAGTAAATAAACACGTAGGCTGCCGGTTTGTCCAAATGATTATTTACAAATCGTTATTTAATGCGCTGAATAATGTTGTGATGTTTTTTATGACGAACAATATATAACTTCGTACATCCCTGAACGCAATTCTAGAATTTTGTGATAGTTGTAGCAGGTTTTCAAAGCGTAACATAAAATTTCATGAAAAATATGACGACGGACTAATGAATGAACACAAACTAGTCAATGAATAGCAATATTCCAGTGAATGAATAGCATAATATGAATTTCATAAAAAAAATACAATTTTTGAACTACATACTAATTTACCCGTCTCGATTAATTAGAGCAACCGTTACAGTCAGTATAAAAAACGACATTTTATAAAATTCTGAACACAAATGTAATATTTTTTGTTTCAAAAATCTTAAAGAAGGTAAAGAAATGTTTAATATTTTTATATGATAGAGAAGAAGAACTGGCATAAATAATATAAATTATTCTATCCCGGCCGACCGACGACACAATTTCTCCTAGTCCTTATAAAGAGAACACGTCTCAGAAATATGTACGCCGAACTACTATTTTTTAACTTATCCCCCTAAATTATGACGCTTGGTGAGAAAATGGTGTTTTTGGAAGCAATCGGACAACGAGAGCCCGTGCCATTGAAAGATGTTAGTGATTCAATTTTTCAAGATAATTGATGAACTTCGCCCTTTTAGAAATATTGTTAAACTGTATTTCTAAAAGCGTTGCTTCTACAAATTATATGCAAACACTTTTCTTATTTACCGTTAGATACGGTGTACGATGTAGAATCTGACAAGTAGGGATATATCGTGTCTGGACACATCGATTTTGAAGAAGTATCTGTGAGAGGTAATTTTCGAAAAAATATTTCTTTATCGACTGTTATCGACGGTGAAAATGTGAAAAAATCCTTAACTTCACGAGCTAGCAACATCGACGATGGCGGATAAAAATAACGTATTGAATATTTTTCCGGAAGGTACTTCCCACAGAAAATTAGTATATCGAAACTCGATACATCTCCCCGTGTCAGATTCTACATCGTACGCTGTATTTAATAGTATATAAATATAGCACATAAAACTCATCACTAGACTGCGGACTTAGTTAAAAAAAAAACAAAAAAACAAAATGGTACCTGCAAAACATCTCTGTAGGTATATAATAGAATCACTACGCGGAAAATTTAATGTGAAAAGCGTATGATAAACGTTACTTTTTTATGTACTTCGGCAATTCATCATTCTCCACGGATGCTCATTTATTGAACAGATCATCCTATCTGCCAAAGATTTGTATCATTTTGAATTTAAAGTGACTTAAAGTGCGCAAGCATATATTTAATTTTGCCTTTTCAGCAAACGGGTGGATTGCCTAATTAATATGTGCGATTACTAAAAAAAAAAGATTATTACGAAATCTAGAATAAAAAACAGTTTTTAAATATTCAGGTGTTCCGACGTAAAGTTTTGTATAAAAGTGCATACGGGGTGTCTCGCCTAACTCGAGCATCTAAAACATCTTGCTTGTTTTTTATGATAGAAAAAAATGTCAGAGGAAAACATTGGTTGGTTCAGAAAGTCGAATATTATGATAGGCAAAAAAAATTGTTCAAGGTTATATTTTTTGAGATTTCAAGGTCATCAAAGTATTTTTAAATGAAACGATATATTTTTATTATTTCTGTATGACAGCCGAGGTCAAGGCGAATCCAACGACCTGTAATATTATGATCTTCACGTAACCTCGAGTACGAAAAATTCATAAAAGTAGGGCGCTTGATATAATCGGTGGAATAACAATGACAGAATAAATAATAAAGGTAAATTTACTTCAACAAGTGTACTGACCTTGTACTGAGTTACTTTTAGCCTCACCGTGAACTAAAATCATATCTGTGTTTTCTACATTACTGTACAATACCAGAGAATTTCAGAGAAGTAATGTTATCTTTCACACACACATATACACACAATCGAATAAATCCCGACGAATTTCTTGGACATACTGATCAGAATCATCGAAAGGAAACGAATTTGTATCAGTGTTTACAATTTATTATAAGCGTGTTTAGAGTCATTAGTTAAGGTTCGAGAACATTTTTTGAAACCTGAACATTTCTACGAGGATCATGCCATCGTTATTTCGCTATTTACATCAACTGCTCTACTGTTATGCTCTCATATTACAGGTCGTTGGATTTAAAGAAACTTCGATGACCTTGAAAACTCAAAAAATATAACCTTGAACAAATTCGTTTGCCTATCATAATATTTGCTCCTCCGAATCAACTAATGTTTTCCTTTGACATCTTTTTTCTACCGTAAAACACAAGCGAGATATTTTAATTCTCGAGTTATATCAGACACCCTATACAGTAAAAAAATACATTGAAGATGTCAGAAAATCCCTACGTACGTACTTGTTTAGATTACATACATTAGATAGCAATAATATTCTCTAGAAGGCGGCAAAGTCGGCAACGCTTGCTTAAAGATACGCGTATTGTGTCGATAGAAAATGATTAATGGTTATTTGATCCACGCGCCTTTTACTTATTTAGATTTTAATTACAGACGGCGTTTTCATTATCTACATCTTGTCTAGAATCTGATCATTGCGAGTGCACGCGGACTCTCGATTCTCAGAGTACAATTTCGATACGCTCGATAACAGTACGTTATGCGCTACGCTCGGTCAGATCCTTTGTATGTTCTGTATTCACAGGAGTGTATATTACAAGCGACATCATTTCTACCAGTAAACCGTAATCAAAGCATAATAAAGATTCATTTAAATGCAATAAAAATGGAGATGTATGACGATACGAAATTCTCGGAAAGTTAATAATCGGATCGGCTCGGGTCGGGTCGTTGAGACAAGAGGGGATGAGATCGGCGGTAAAGAGTGACTACATGCACTTTGGTTACTTTCGTGCGTACCCAGTGACTCCTTTCCGAGTCAAACTGTTCCGTCCCGAAGGAACAAACCTCGAGGAGTTCCCGTCGACGAGATTTATGACACAGACGTGACAAAGGTTATTTTTGAGAATAAGACTTTTTACACCTGCCAGCCATGTGGCGTTCGAACCTCATCGCCGTCTTCCTCAATGACCATAAGTGTCATAAATCCGGGATTTCCGAAGGGTCATCTCGAGTGCCTACCGCTGTACCCAAGGCCACCGTGAGTTGACCTGGAGGAATTTCCGTCGCTTCGTCGATGACGGCAATAAATCCCCATACCCTCTCTGAAACAAGACACGCTCAGGGCGTAACGAGAGGGTGTTGGCGAAGGATTAAGAAGATTGGGCAAATGCAACAACCAGCAAAACCAATCAGTGCACTTATCCGTCATGAACACGGAAACCTCCTCGATAAAAGAGCTTGCACATCGCGAGTCAGGGCTGTTTTTACTCACTACCGGTTGGGTCTTAGACGTTCTCACTCTCGCTTCCACATCGCACCCACGGTTCCCGTATCATTGGACGACCATCGCAAGTTCACATAGTACTCTAATAACAACGGTCGAACCACACATTTTCTTTGTTCGACCAACATCGCAAGTCGAGACCACCTCCAGCTCCAACAGTCGAGCCAATACATTGTACGCGCAACCAACGCTCTACCAGAAAAATCCGATTGCCCGATATTAATTTGGCGGGCAATATATCAGCGGCACCGGAGTCAACGCGCCCTCGAACAGCCTAATCCGGGCCTTACAACCCCAGAAAGGGCACGAGAGTTCCGCGCGTTAACACGTTCCGTGCCATGTGTACCATCGATGGTACATGCTTACATGTTTCTTTAATGCGTTAACAAAATAGTTTGTAGCAAATATAGAACCGAAGAATTAATTCTACCGCAAGAATGGGTCATGATAAGTTTGTTTGATTATTACATACGATGATTAATAATTACATATAATATATCAAGTTTTAGTAAAATATCAAATGGCCAGCGTGAAAAGTCGAGTAAAAACAACTCGGCATAGAACGTGTTAACCAGAGTGTACGCGGCAGAAAACACAAACCGAATTTAGGTGCATGGTTCCGAGTGATTCTGAGACAACAACAAAATACGGCCGAAGTGGATGTAGTCCCCCCTTTACAGAGAATCTCATTTCCCCCTTGCCCTAATTCAGGGTAATATGCTCTGTCCATATATTCGTAGGTTCATGTTGCGCAGCGAATTTTAAGAGGAATTTGAGAACTTTTTTTCCAGAAGCGAATGCTAGTTGCAAAGCAGGACTTCCCTCGAATTTTCTATTTTTAGTATGGTTTTAGCCAACCACTGATTGCTCGAAAATTTGACCTCCGCGCTTAGCTTTTATAATGTTCTATAAACGGGTAACATTTTTCAAATTACCCGCAAATTCAAAGATGGAAATTTAACAATTACGAATAAATGTCACATATAAATGCTGTACTATGAAGCAGCTTATTAAATGATGAATATCAAACCTTGAATCGTAAAAATCGAATAATTAGAATATATATTATTATATTATATTATTATATATTATTAATATATATTATTATATTATATAATATATATATATATATATATAATTTCGGGCTTATCGAAATAAGCACTGTTGAATTTTCAAAACTGTGATACTAAAAATATTTTATAATGTTTATCTCGATAAGCCCGAAATTTTAAAGATTATGCAAAATTCTCGGAAATTCAGATTCGCAGAAAACCTGAGATTCTCTAGAATCTCGATAAACCCAAATCACAAAGTACTTTCAGAAATCCGACGCAGCCCGACCTGAAATCGTGTGTTCTTCCTCACCTCCAGGAAATTTACTTCAATTAAAAGCAATTCAAAAACTCAGTTTAATTATATTATAACTATTCATACTAACTCTATTTAATCTTAATATTTTTAATTTAACAATATATATTGAATTAAAATGATTATATTAATAAATAATTTATTCTTTTAGAGACAATTGTGTTTTTTACCTTGAAAATTTATTATTATCTGTTTTACAGCAGAGAGTCCATTGATTAGAAACAATAAATAATAGAATTAATATTTACCATGTGTTTCTAAATTCATTTATGATTGTTCAATGTTAAGGTTGTCGATAAATAAAGTTTAAATTATATTTACAACAGCTATAAACCTTATTAAAATCGAAATTTAGTGTTCAAATGTATTTCTTAAAATTACAAGATGTTGACAAGCTTGTCTACCCCAGTTTGAGCGATTGCCACTACATCAAACGGCGTCAAATTTATATTTCGAGAATTGTTTTTAATCTCAGAAGAAGAAAGTACTTTCTCGAGGTCTGTGAGAGAAGCTAAGTAATATCATTCGCTTTCTCTTTCTTTAATGAATAACATTAATCGATCATACACTCACGTAACACGTTAATATTATGAAACATTATAATTATATTAAGTATAAATATTAATGTATGTTAACCGTACAGAGCAATATCGATTCATAGAGAAAGAGATAATTTCTTGATGTTTCGAATCTATCAGTTCTAAAATTCCGAATTTCTATTTTATAAAATAGAAGCCTTCGATCTCGTGGAACTATAAATACGCTCTATTTCCGAACAACGATAATTGTTGCGATGTAAACTATTTCTCGAGCCACAATAAAGAAATTAAATTCTTTCCCGAAGTGGCGTAACTCGTTAAAAGCTTTGCTTCCATCCGACAGAGTATAGCCGAATCCGTGTGCAGCATTTGAAATTCAGCGGAAGTATTTACGGAAGATCACACGAAAAAAGGAATGAAGATGATCATGATGGAACATAACCGATCAACACTCGAAGTGTTGTTGTTGTTGTTTTGTTGCGTTTTCACGTTGACACTCTGCGCCAAGGATGAAAAACCACATTGCGTGTGGTATGGAGATTGTTCTTTGGAAGACACCAAAAAATTAACATGCTCGTATAATGGCCCTCCCAAACTGATTAAAAACGCGACCATGTCGGAGAGACTTCGGTCAAAGTGTCCATTTTACTTTCAAGACACCGGTACGTTAATTTCCATAGTACCATTATGTTTTCTGATGGGAGGCATCTGTCTACTCTACCCCAATGACTTGAAACATACAGTGGACTTTAGCTTTGTCCTTTTCCAAAACCAGGGACCAAAACTAACGTTGTTCGAAAAACTTGAAAAATTCTCGAGTCATTATCTCGATAATATGTTGTTACTAAAGAAAAATTTGGTCGGGGTGCCGAAACTACTTTCATAAGTAGTTTGCTTTTTGGGATTAAAATATTGTTACAACTAGAATTATCGACTTAAAAACCTGAACAAATTCTCGAACATGCACACCAACATCCGTGATATGTCGTACTTTTGTCAAAACTGTGCCCCTAGTCTCGATTGAGGATTCAAGGTTCAACTGAAACGGTTTCTATTTATTCTGTATCGAACGAAACATCAGTCGTTTAACCCGAGAAAGATAACCTACGTCGCAGAGGCGCCTGCGAAATAAACAACTGACTGCACCGTTTTCATAGAGGTCTAGTGATTGAAGTTTAAAATTACTTAAAATATAAAAAAATATAATATAAATGCATTTTATTTTTACAATAATGCCAAACCTTTAAAATGACTAGATTAACTTAAATAAATATCCATTGTTAGTATAAAATTGACGCCTTAGAAAAGCATGCGCCTCTGAAGCGTATGGTTATCTTTTACGTACGTTGTCATATGGTTATCTTTCTAGGGTTAAATCGACTCAAGGGCAATTTTCGCTCCCTTAATCGGCTGTACCCGTTCTTCATCGAAAATGGTGATGGACAATGAAAACAAAATTTCGGACACGTATAATTAATCACGTATAATTATTCATAATTAAGAATGTTTCAATCAAAATGGTAATTGTTATGCAACAACTTTTTTTCATGTCGATTACAACAGTTATGGTTCCTGTGAAAAACACAAGTCAGAAACTGAAAACGTAGAAATAGAAAATCTGTAAGAATCTCGCAATAATTTCGGTCTGATCTTATGTTCCTTTTTTAGACGACCCGGAGTTATGTTGCGACGCCAAAAATATAGCTACACTGACCGGGCAGATGGAAATGATCGAAGGTATCTTTGGCAGGTGTCCAACATGCATAGAAAACGTTTACAAACTGATCTGCGATATGAGCTGCAGTCCTGTGCAAAGCGAATTCCTACGAGTACTTAAAAATGAAACGAACGCCAAGGGTACATATGTGTCGGAGATCGAGGTAACCTTGGCATAATTATAAACATAATATATCAGTTAAACGCTTAAGAGAAGAATAAATATTTTTATTCTATTAATAACTACACTACGGATATTTATTATTTTTGTTTATATATCATGTAACTCTTTAACCTTAATTTTGCTTGTGAACTACATATTTGACTAAAATTGTTCTGAACGAAAATTGTTTGATATAAAGAGGAGCATACACGATAACAATTAATCTTTCGCTATTTTCCTTCTTTATTAAAATATACGGATCACCTTAAGTTTTTTAGCTACAATGTGCAGCATTTAGTCATGCCATTCGAAAATCTATGGAAATGCAGAGTGCAAAATTATTAAGGTGCAAGTGTTCATAAATTAATGTTTATCAAAATATTCTTTAAATATTTTTTAATGCAAGAAATGTTCAAAATGTTGTCTATTACAATCTCAATGTAAACATACAAGCGATTAATCATTGCGAATGATACACGTGTAAGCGTTTCATATTCTGTCAAGTGATCTTCATACTTTGATAAAAAAGAAAAATAGCAAAAAATTAATTGTCGCCGTGCATGCTACATTTGTTCGAAACATTTCTTCAGGCAACATGTATACTTATAGATTCGAGCCAATATCGATAAAGTTTCGTTTTACGGCTTTCGATTACTGCTTAAAAAGCAATAAAGTTTCATTAAATATACTTGCTGCGTAATTATTTTATCCAAGTTGATTTTCGAACTGTAGAATGAATACCGTTGGTTTCGACGAGGCATTTTAAGGGAATACTTTTAAGAGACTTTTAGAGTTATCATTATGAAAATATTTTTGAAAGACGGTAACCTCCGCAACAATTTTCGGAACGTTTTAACACCGCATTCGGGTAAGATCATGCGCTTTCCTATGTCTTAGGTACATGTTGCGGAAGAATATATGAATGGTACCTACAATTCTTGTAAAGACATCGTTCACCCGGCAAGTGGAAATTTAGCTATGCAATTGGCATGCGGATCTAACGGGGCCAACGGATGTACAGCGAAGAAGTACGTTTCGAAATGGAATCGACATACCTTCGTTTGTATAAATCATATATTTTTACAACTATTAATAAGTTTCAATTAATCGAAAAACCCGAGTAAATGGGTCACCAAGCCCATTTCTTTCCTTCACCAAGGAACAAGAGTTACTTTCAAATGACCTCAGGAATCACTTCTTTCCGGGTGTTAACATAATTATGGGGCACCCTGTAGACATTTCTATGTCTAGAATTACTTATAAAAACAGCATGGACAAGGATGATATTCCGAAAATGTAAAATTCAATGCGCTTCATATCAAGATGTATTAAAGTTTTCGCAATATTCTTGCTGTAGATGGTACGAGTACCAAGGTGATCCAGATGCGAACACTTTCATAGCTTTTCGGGTGCATTTTATTCCTAATAACACCTTCTGGAATAACCTAACGAAACCATGCAGTGACAGAACCAATGTAAGTTCAAGAAAACAACATATACTTTTATAGCAACTTCGATGTTGATCACTAAACGT